TTCTTTCTTTCTTTCTTTCTTTCTTTCTTTCTTTCTTTCTTTCTTTCTTTCTTTCTTTCTTTCTTTCTTTCTTTCTTTCTTTCAAAATATTGCCTGTGTGCTGGTTTAAAACAGGATTTTAGAAGAACGAATTGCTAATCAGACTTTAAATTTAAAAGGCAACAAACAAAGCAGTACAAACGAAGAACACTTTCTGCTTCAAAGTAATTGTGGAGTATGTTCCTAAGGGAGTGGAGAATATTCCCCTGTATTATTTGGAGAGTGTTTTACAGGCAGAGAGCCCTTCAAATTAATATAGATGTTGTTCTCCTAAATCCATTTCAGAATTCAGACAAGTCTAATCATTACAATTAAAGCAAAAGAAAGGAGGAATATGCTATATATTTTCTCTTTAAAGGGAGCCACTGATTAGTTTGATAGACTGCATTCAGGATATGGGAGGAGGAAGGAAATTCATATTGAATCTCACAAGGACCACACCTTACCTTATGGATCCTTTTCATTTATGAGAGTGCTTCTGCAAAAAATTATTACCTGTGCAGCTAGAGTTAAAAAAAATCTCAGAATGAATTTTTCTTTTCTGCATTTGAATTTAAAAGTGCTGAACCAGTGAATACTGTCAGATAAGTAAAAATCGTTCGTGCTTTGTTGTTTTTCTTTTTGTGTCTCCTTAATGCTTTATTGTGGTCTTAAGTCCCTTTTAGCATTTGCATAAAGTTCACGATAGATCCCTCTTTAATGACGTGCCGATCATTAGATACCTGTGTGTCAATAACATGCTCTGATGCTATGTTCCATTGACAGTCACACCGTGCCCCTCCATCTGCTTTTGTTTTGACCCTATCTTTGAACTTTATCTTGGTTGCTGGCCAGTAGTTTTCCCTTTAATTACAAGAAGGAAACTGTCAATAAAATCTGTTAAATGGGATGCAATGAGTGGCTTGAATGGGCGGACGGCTATTTGTTCAAATTCTGCAGCATTCAAGGTATTGACAGTTTGTTTTCTGGGGCCATATGTGACGATCAATCTCAGGCTGGGCTCAGCCGCGCTGAAAAATGAAAAACCAGATTGCTTTTGCTTACTTGTGGATGACGACTTGTGATTTGGCGCGGTCCTAGTGAGATGAGACCTTCTGCCCAAATTGCCCCCCTGAGAGCCAGGACGCGTGACTGTTTTTAGAAATAATTTTTTAATTGATTTTGTAATTAACAGTTCATCTACAATATTGATGCATGAATCCTCAGATTGATAGGAGGGAAATTGTTTTCAACAATGAAGTTGTACTTTCCTATTTATCTTTGTAATGTGATTTAGCACTCTGCATTTTTAATTGGAAATATAATTCAAAAACATGCAAAGCCAAAATGCTTATTAGTTTCTTTGTAAAATATTCTCCACCCCACTAACTCTGCCCTTAATTTTAGAATATTATCTTATTCCAGATTAAACAAAATGCTGAAATGCCTCTCAAAGATCAAAATTATTCTTAATTGAAGATTTATTTATCATTTTTGACCATTGTAAATAGACGCTTGAGGATGCTTTGCAGCTCCAGGAAGGTTATTTCTCAAAATTGGTCATGCTTAATGATCAGAGCAAGAAAGTTATCTGCAATTAGGAGTCTAAATGGAGAAGGGCTTTTGTACTTATTTAAATTCTGTAATTCAAAGGCTGAATTAGAAATACTTCTGCAGTTTACTTGACAAAAAGGATGAGGGCTAGCATAGATGGATATGATGTTAAATACCACTCCCACCTTCCTCCCCACCCCCCCCCCAAAAAAGATATGCAGTGTTTAAGTAATAATAAAAAATAACTGCTGCCAAAAAAAAGTTTAGTCATACACTGTGCATAGAGTGTATCAAAATCATCTGTAGCTTCATTAACTTCGCTGGAAATTACAACCAGGATAATGTCAGAGATAAATACAGTTCAGCATACTAAAATTCAGGGCACATTGAAGTGAAAACATTTCCTTCGCTCATCTTAAAAGAAATAAAATAGCTGTCTTAAAATGAAAGTGTTGCAAGGAAGAGTTAAAAAATAGCCCAGCCATTCCACTTCCCTTTCAACAGTGTTTCAGATACTGACATTCAGCATTTCAGCATCAGGTTGTGCAGGCATAGGGTACCAAACTTCTACCAGTTGTAGATGTAAAGTAGCACCTGCGGAATTGCAGCCCATTAGTGTTTCAGTTTACAAATGCTGCTGAAATTAAACTAAAATTTAAGTTGGATTAAATCTTTTTGTCTTTTTTTTAATAGACAAAAGCAGAATAGCTTCTTTTCATATAACTAGGAACTTGGTTAATGAAAATGTAGCTATATAAAAAAACTAAAATCCCATTAGAAAATCAACCAGTAGCAATTCACATTTGAATATATTTTTATTGCTACTTCTGCTTTCATCCACTGTTTATTTTTCCAGTTTAAAATATATTAGCCTTTTTGTAGCTGGGGAGAGTATAAAAAGAAATCTTGGACGTTTCAGACTTTCTTGCCATATCCACACTGTCTAGAAAGATTCCCAGGTTGACTCTACTGTAAACAGTAGACAAAGGTGGTTTTATAGCTCCATATCTGTGTTAGTGATTTATGATACAGTGTCATAGTACTTTCCCTGCTGGTGTTTGGAGGCAAGAAAAAGAAATTGTAGATTGTCTTCATATCGATTGTATTTTGTTTGAATAAATACCACAAGCTTTGTTTTGACCAACAAATCTCAGTAGTGTGAGCATTAAATCACACACTTTTCTTTAGGTCTGGAGAGCCCATTTGTGCAGTGCTGGAACTGAGATAATCCTGCCATTTGGTCCCTAAAAGGTGGGGAGGAGTAGCAGTTTTTCAGCGAGATTCTCTGACAGCCACTATCAAATGTTCCCCATGCAGGGCTGGCAGTGCCACACCAACTTCCATAAATTCCCAGAAATGCAAGATGTGGCTATGGTGCAGATTGTCACTGAGTTCAAACTGAGTGCCTATAGACTCTGGGAAGTTTAAATGCACGTGTAAGAGTACAACACTGAAATGTATAGACGTTTGAGTCATGAATACATTAAGTCTGTACAGGCATGATTTCAACAGTTACATTTAATATGTAAATATGGAATTTATCAGGTTAGATTTAAGCATCTGCATTGATTTGATAGTAATTAACACAGGCTTTATACTTCAGAGAAGTCACTCTTTCCTTGGCATTGTCCTTGTCCTGCCAGTGTCACGAGTTGCTCCCTTCTTTCCCTGCCTTCTGTACACAAGAGCCAGGAGGTGCCTGGAATCTGCGGGACGCGACTGCCCCGCGTTCCGCCTCACACCGCCCAAATGAGGCGAGCTGGCACCAATGAGCACTTTGTTTACCCACGCAGAAAATCAGCTTTGAATGGTTTCCAAAACATGCATGTACCAATTACTTCCTCGTGTGTAAGGGAAGGTGAAATATTTGCAAAATATGCTTGATGTGTACACAAGTGCAGGCACGCGCACGGGAACGCGCCGGCACGGAAAAGAGGGAAAGATGAGCTGCTCATCTTTTCCATGCTAGGATGTGTTCCCGTGTATTGATTAAGATAATACTAAACAGGCAGTTGCAGGTGAGAAATTTTTTGAAATTGCCTAATCAGTAAGGACGAAATTGGGCCTCCAGGCCAAATGTTGTGGAGGAGCTTAGGAGTCACAACCAAGACCAGAGTTTAACAGAAGCTCGGTTCCCATCTAAGACCTAATGTAAGGAACTGGAGTGTCAAAAAATACATCAGCACATTTGAAAATCTGGTCTCTGTGCATCTGCTTAATACACTGCTGGCATCTTGAAAAACCTGACCCAATGTGGATGCTGGGCACTTAAAAGTACTGCCTTACACACTGCTGAAAATTTAATCTTAAATGCTAATACTGGCTGTGTAGCCTGTACTACAAGAAGGAGAAAAGGACTTCTGCTCACCTTCACATTTCTGGTCTTTAATATTAACTCTCTTCAGAAAAAAAAATTTAAAATAGCCTTTTCAGTACAGAAGGGTGTACAGAACCAAAAAGTACCTTGTGCATTTTAGCATAATGAAGTGCAGATCAATATTGGTGCCAGCAAAGTTACACTATCATCTCATCCTGATAAAAAATTAGTAAGTTCTTGTAAGTTTTTTAGCTTTCCAGGCACAGTGTACTCAGAGCACTAGGCTATCACCATTATATGATATTATCATAATAGAAATTAATTGGTAGAGCCCAACAAATCACTTACTCCACAGGACATCATTTTTATTCCCAGTGCATGTCACAACATGCTGTATTTAATTTCTAATAATGTCCATTTTTTTTTCATTTTATCTTGTTAGTGTTCAAATTCATGAATAAGACATATCTTGACTGGTCATATATGTATACACACAAACACACATAGCTGTGTGTTGAGGGTGTGTTACCAGTCTTTATTTATTTATATTTGACAAGTATAATTAGCAAGGTCTTAACTCTTTTGTGTAGTTTTATATAGAGAATAGTACAGCATAGAAACAAATTTTTAGGAAAGTTTTCATGTTGCTTGCAGTTTATTCGTCTATTCCATTTTCATGTAATCAAGTAAATGACACCCACAATTTTCAGAGAAAACAAGTAACTCTGTTACTAGTTGCTTAATGCTGGCATTAGGAAATGGCAGGTGAGTTAATCAGTGGTTAATTAATAGTTAATCAGTGGTTAATCATATTTTTTTCTTCTTTTCTGGAAGCTGCTCTAGTAACTGAGTAACTTGGACCTGTTCCTCACTTAGTTAGGAAATAAGCAGATAGTATTTACATGTTAGTAGCATGAGAGTCACAAAGAAGTGAGGCCAAACGTAGTTGCCCTCAGTGGTAATTGTGGTAATTTCTTATATCTTAAATAGATCTTATATCTTAAATAAAAAGTACTTCGAAGTCTTCATTCAGCATTTTCTTATAGTTGGTGTCTCA